CAGGCGGATCTCTGTGAGTTTGAGGCCAGCCTGGTCTACAAATGCTAGTTCCAGGACAGGTTCCAAAGCTACAGAAATCCCGTCTCGAAAAACCAAATCAAAAGAAAAGAAACCTATTAAAAAAAAAAACCTAGAAAAGTAGTGGTTGAAAAGCCTATCTCCAAGCCTTCCGTTGTACTTATTTAGAATCCCAGCACGTGGGAGGCAGAGGCAGCTTTTAGATCACCCACTTCCAGGCTGGATTGGTACTGCATGCCTATAATTGCAGCACACAGGAGGCTGAGACAAGATGATCACAACTTCAATCATTTTTTGTTTGTTTTTCATGTCGCCAGGCTAACCTTCTTGCCTCTACCTCTCAAGTGTGGGCTCCTTTCTTTTTTTGTGACAGGCTATCAATATGGGCTGGCCTGGAACTAACCTGCCCAAGATATACTTAAAATCCTAAACACAAAACATCCTCTATCAGGCATTGGTAGCGCACACCTTTAATCTCAGCACTCTGGAGGCAGAGGCAGGTGGATCTCTGAGCTTGAGGCCAGCCTGGTCTCCAGAATGAGTTCCAGGACAGTCAGGGCTACACAGAGAAACCCTGTCTGGAAAAACAAACACACACCTCCTACATCAATTTGAATAGCTGTGATTACAGATGTGTGCCACTGTGCAAGGGCTGACATCCCAGCATAAAGCCACTTTCTTCTTAAATATCACTTCTAAAAAGTAACTTTCAGGTGAAGATTGACAACTAAAAGAACTCATGTAATCGAAACTGACACTGATCCTCCAGGTCCTTTTAGAGCTTGGGATCCTATCCTTCATCTGAGCATCTGCAGCCTGCCAAGTAGAGAAGGCTATGTGTGCTGTGTCTATGCACACTTGTCACAGTTCCCAGGTTTGCTGAAGTCACATTGGCATCTGGCCAGTCCTCTGGCATAGTACCCTTTGTGATAACAGGTAACACATAGCTGTCAATAATTTCATAATTTTATATAACAGGTTCTTGTTTGTTTTGTTTTTTCTGAGACAGGGCTACTCTGTGTAGTCCTGGCTATCCTGGAACTCACAATGTAGATCAAGTTGGACTCAAATTTACAGAGATCTGCCTACCTCTGCTTCCTGAGTGCTGGGATTAAAGGTGTGCGCCAATCACCACAATGCTCAGTTTTTAATTAATTAATTTGTATAATTATTTTGTTTTTATTTTTCAAGACAGGGTTTCTTTGTGTAACCTTGCATCTTAAAAAAGAAAGAAAACCAAAACAACAACAAACAGGGTGCCACTATGTAGCCCTAACTGGCATGGAACTCACAGTGTAATCAAGCTGGCCTCTGCTTCAGAAGTGCTGGAATTATTAAAGTCACAGACACCATACCTGGCCTTACATATTAGCTTCTCATCCTTGAGTGGATGCCATAATGTTCTAGCTAGCTGACATGTTCACTTGGGCTTAGAACACAAACTTTATCGAGGAGCTATGGTTCATGTAGTAAGTGCAAGATGGGATCATTCCTGATGCCTACTGCACACACATCATTTGGGCTGTAATTTTATACTGGAGATTGAATCCAGAGCCTCACACATAGGAGGTAAGTACTCTAACGACTGGGACTTACCCCTAACCCTCCTTTTTCTCTTTTGGGAGGATATAGGGTCTGGCTATGCAGCCCAAGCTGGTCTCAGTTTTGGAAGTCATCTTCTTGCCTTTTCCTCCTAGTGCCAAAATTACAAGTATGTGTCACAGTGACTGGAACCAACATCTAGATTTTCTTTTGAACCTCCGTTTGCTTCAGAACTTTTCTCCTGCTCTTCACATCTTCCTCAAGTCACCAGAGATTTCCTGGTTCTTCTCTAGCTCTCATACTCACCCGATCACGTCCACTCTTAGCCAGCGAGACATTGGCAACAGGGAAGGAACAGAGTGAGGCGGTGGAGGAATCACAGTCTGTCCTAGACGAGAAGGGATGAATGACAGTTTGTGCCGTTCCAGAGCCTGCTCTGCCTGCTTGCCCCCATACCCACCCGGTCTCTAGGGCTCCCTCCTGTCATCCACCCCTCTTCTCCATTACTGAGAAGTGGACAACAACCGTGGCCAGGAGATTCAAGATACCAAAATAAGGCTTTCATTCTCTTCCCACTACTTCAGTTTATGTCCCTATTAGAAGAGAACCTCTAGGTAGGAACCAAAGGACACTCTGGTGTTCTTACAGGCTCCCTTAAAGAGCTCGGGGCATGTGGATTTCAGGGTCCCACCCCTACAGATTCTGATTCAGACAGTTCCGGTTTGGGGCCTGATTAGAAAAAAAGAAAACATTCCTCCAAAAGGATCTACGGATCTTAAGAGAAATTATAGGCAAAATTACACATGACACACGGGTGCACAGCTCATCCCTGATAGCTCCTGTATGTATAAGATTCATGTTCCCTAAATGGTTAAGAAGATCTACCTTGAAAATGACAGCGCATGACTAGGGTTTAGGGAGAGGGAAGAAAGACTTAAATTGATGGTATTAAAACTGTTTCTGTGTCTGCTAATTGACTGGTCCTACAGCATTGTTGGGACAGACAGAGAACTGGGCAGCAGGAGGGAAATGGGAATGAATGAGGAGTCGGTTATCTTGGGTTACTGTGCAGATGCAGACCATTGCGGGTAAGTGGCAGTAAACTAAAAGGCAAAAGAGGTATTTCCTAATGCCGCCTACGCTAAAAGCCAGGATAATTCTTAGATGCATAAGGGGTTGAGTTGGCCCAAAACTCTATAGTGGCTTAAAAGGTTTTATGCAATCTAAACAGAGTGGACTTTAATTACTTGAATTTAAAAGTGAATTTCTTTCTTTAGTCTTTTTTTTTTTTTTTAACTTCTTTGAGACAAGGTTTCAACCTGTAGCCCAGGCTGGCCTAGAACTCATGATAATCCTCCCAATTCAGCCTCCCAAGTGCTGGAATTACAGATAAGATTTCATCCTCTGTCAATAATGGGATTCGACAGAGGATGCACCAAGAGTCCTTGGGGTCATTTCAATTTAAGATTCTTCTACGTTAGCTGGGCGGTGGCAGTGCACACCTTTAATTCTAGCACTCGGGAGGCAGAGGCAAGCGGATCTCTGTGAGTTCTAAGCCAGCTGGGTCTACAGAGCGAGTTCCAGGACAACCAGGGAAACACAGAGAAACCCTGTCTCGGAAAAGATTCTTCTATTTTAAGTGAGCAGTCTCCTCACCTGTAGTGGAAATGCACAGGGCTCAGGTGGCTGACAGTCGGCATGTAGGAGTAGTAGAAAGAGCCATAGAGGAACACAGACACCCAAAGCAAGAGGAGGATGGTGCAGAAGAGCACCCCAAACTGCAGCAGCAGCCTGCGGGCACGGCCTGCCAAGACATGGCCTACTTCCTGGGCCCACAGTAAGGCAGGTACTGGTGGGTCATTGACCATGATGGGGACAGCAGAGGATCTGGCCCCAGCTTCAGGCTTTGAGCTCCTGGCTGGTCTTCCACAGGGACGATACCCTTGGCCATGGGATAGGGCAGCTGGAGGTTCCTGGAGAAAGAGGAGAGGAAAAATAAATCTTTTTCTTCCCACCTCAGGGAGCAGGGAACAAAAAAGTCAAGCTTATTAAACTGGCTTTGAGGAAGTAGAGATAGCAGGATAAAGCAAAGTCATTGTTTCACTCGCGCTTCTCTTCCAATTACTCCTTCACCGAGTTTCCTTCCAGCGCTGACAGTGGAACCTTTCCTTCAGTCACCGGGGCCGGGGGAAAACCTCCTTGATTCACAGCGTTGTTCTATACATAGGACCAGGCCCTTAAACCTCTCTCAAAGCACAGATGACATGGATCCACAATGCCAGGGGTTGCAAGGAGAGGATGAGTGACTTGCCTAAGGTCGCACAACCTCTCGAGTTTCTCCCCTCCTCCCAGACCTGTGATCGTTCACCAAGCGATCACACAGCCCTGTGGCCCACCTGCGGAGTGACGCTGAGGCGCCCACCCCTGCGGTAACGCGGTGAACACCAGCCTGTCACCGCAGCCTCCCGCTGCCCAAGCAACCTAGAGAAGGGAGTTCCGGCTGCCGAGAGAGCTCGGCCCCTTCGGGCAGTCGCCAGTTAAGCGCAGGGGAAGGGCTCGTGCAGGGGCGGGGCCCTAGCGCAGTGGGCAGGGCCTGTGAGATGCCTTGCTCTGGTTTTGTGCTTCCCACTGTCCCTGCCTGAGGATCATTATAGGCCAGTTCAGCGACCAAAGGGGCAATGCGCTTCCCCATCTAGAGCCCACTATCATTCCGGAGGCAGGCTGAGACTCAGCAGCATCCCTTTGATTGCTGCGCAATCATGGCCCTCTTCCGAAACCTTTACCACAGCTTTTCACCCCAAAAGGCAGGATCTGGGTGCAGGCGGGGTGGGTAGAGTGGAGGTGGTAAAATGGGTGCTGTTTTTATTCAGCAGAGCTCCTTGAGCCTGTAGGAGCCCAAGGGGAGTGTGTGTGTGTGGTGGGGGGCCCATTTGCCCTGAGAACCTTGCACCCTGTCAGATCTTGTGTGTTGCACAGATGGCTTGCGGTCCGCTAGTCAAGCGTAGCAGCATTTTCAGCCCCTTTCTCCAGTTTTTATGCTGCGTGATCGACTTTCAGTGACCCACGTGATGCAGTCAACCTCAGAATCCCTACAAAACATGAGACTAGGTCTCTGAAGGTGGCATCTTCTGGACAATGTCCTCCAGGAGGCAAGGCCAGTGCACATCTTTTTGAATAGTAACAATCTATTCCAATTACCTGAAAAATTCGAATCAATTTGCTATCTCCCCAACTCCGCCACTTGCCACCGCTTCTTCTCACTCCAAGAAGCCCACCTGTGTTCATAACAGTCACACTGGCTCCCGTATCTCCCTTACCTCCTCTTTAACCGATCCTTTTTTGATCTGGTCTCTGCATGTCTCTTTTCCCCCAGCTTCTCTTCTTTGCTGTATCATATCTTTAGATATCTTCCTGATGGTTACCTCTGCTGCCCTGGATTGCCCCACTCAAGTCACTTGTGGCTAGAAAGTGGTGACCTAGAAGCTGACCACTTGTAGAGCGTCACATTTTCCTGGATCTGCAGAATGGAGGGTCACTGTAAAAGAAACGAAGATTCAGGTGCTGAGTGCTGTGTCAGGGTTGTGGGGGGAGCAGTCCAGCTGATGTCAGACTTTCAAATGAGCAGGGTCTCCCGCAGCGGGTAGAGACTCTATTGCAGGGGCTGTCACAGGCCCAGACCACCCCCATTTAAGAGGGGAGACTGCTTCCGCTTCAGGTTCATTAGGGAGGGCTCTAGTTCAGACTAAAGACTTCTCCAATGGGCAGGGGCAGGTAGTGAGACAGTAACAGTGGGTGTGTGTACAGGGGATGCAAGCAGCAGTCAGATCCCCCCACTGGCCAGGCAGTTGGTACGCTCCAGAATCTGAGCAGCTCCTTCTAGCATCCTTCATCCTTCAGGTACCAGCCATCTGGACAGTGCTTGAGCTGCAGAAACTGAGACCACTCCTCCAAGGACCTCCAGTCTGAGCATCTCTAGTGACCTTCTCTGCATTAGCTGTCACTGCTACAGTTATTTTTAGCTGCAAGTTCCTGCAGGGTGGGGCACCTATCTGAATCAGAGCTTGGTGCCCCCTGCCCACTGACGCTACATCCCAGGCTGCTGCTGCCGCCTGTCATTTCAGGTGAGTAGGGAGCAGCTTATTTCTCTCTCAGTAGGGCTTAAGGGGACAGGTGGCCGAAGTGATTTCATCAGGGTGGGGCTCGTTCTGACTGAGGTTTTCATTGCTTCTAACGTATTGGCTCAAAGACTGGAAATCCTTAGAACATTTGTATAGTTCGGTGACGAGGACCCAAGGTTTTGGAGAGCACTTCATTTTTTCTCCATTCTCCCCACTGAGAAAAAGAGATGGGATGGTCACTGGAGAGTGGAGATAATATGGGTACAAAATACTGGCCCAATCCCGGCCGTGGGGTTGTTGAAGAGCTGAGTGTTTTAGCTGAGAGTACTGAGTTGTCTGTCTTTCCTCCAGGATGAAAGGGGAGACCCCTGTGAACAGCACTATGAGTATTGGCCAAGCACGCAAGATGGTGGAACAGCTTAAGATTGAGGCCAGTTTGTGCCGAATAAAGGTGGGTGCGACCCTGGCTCCCATTAGTTCTTCAGGCCTCAGCTGTAGGTTTTATAACCCTTGGGGAAAAGATGCTTTTTTTCTTGACACCCTGAGGTCAGAGGCTGAGACTGGGCATTGTCAGTATAGCTGTTCCCGAGGACTGTGGGGACGGGGAATAGGACTGCCTCAAAGGGCATTAGAAATTAAAAGATAGCTATTTGGCGAAGGGAGCTGCGGCCCTTTCAGGAATTCTGGCTAATGTTTCCCCTCGTGGCTGTGCCCCAGGTGTCCAAGGCGGCAGCAGACTTGATGACTTACTGTGATGCTCACGCTTGTGAGGATCCCCTCATCACTCCTGTGCCCACTTCGGAAAACCCATTCCGGGAGAAGAAGTTCTTCTGTGCCCTCCTCTGAAGAGTTTTGTCCCTCTGAACTCATCTCCCCTCCGAGACCCGCCCTTAGATCGGAAATTGTAGCAGCCTGTTTCTACCCATACCTATCATGAGATTCGCTGAAGCACAAGCCCTCCTTACCCATGTCTACCCCATCTCCTCACCCTGAGGCCAACTACAAATACCTTTTACTCCATCCAGAGGGACCCCGCTAAACTGCCAGAATTCTGCCTGATTCCCTCTGTGATCCGTTCAGGCAATGGAGAGGGGGATGCCCGGGTGCTTGTTCTCAGTCTCACCTGGAGCTATTGGAAAGGTAAAGGCATTTGAAGAATAAAGTCATCCAGAGCCTCAGAGGACAACGCCTGTGTTAGCGTTCTTGGGAAAGAGGATCCTTAATCGATACACTTGCCATATCCAGGGTACAGGGCCAGTCGAGCCAGTTAGACATAGTAAGGGCTGGAGATCGCGGGTCTGAGGCGCGCGAGCGCCCCCAGTGGGGGGTTGTTCAAAAGAGCGCCCACAAGCTGCGGAACGTTCACGGGCTCGCCACGACAGCAGTGAGAACTATGCAGACCGAGTAGGGTGGGTTTCCGCGGGCACTGAGACAAGAGCCGGGTGGAGGTGTCCTGAGGAACTGAGAGGCGACTCAGGGCGTCTCGGCGCCCGGGATGGCGGCGCCCGCAGCCGCTGTCCAAGATGGCGGCTGCCTGTGCGAACCGCACGAAGGCGAGCGTCAAGCTGCCGTACAGCACTTCTCTTGAAATGGCGGCCCCCAGCGTTCCCAATATGCAACGATCCCTTACGAAAGCCTCTGGTCTTAAAATGGCTGCCCCTGCTCTCTCGAAGTCAGAGCCGGGCACCGTGTTCCATAAAACCTGGAACTCTACATCCTCTGGAGGGCTCGAGTCCCAGGGGCACTAAAGAAGTCATGGGTACTCTAGTTCACTAGGATTTGGGCTCAAAAAGCACAGTGTGGATTTTGCAAGAGAATTTTTACATCTTTCCAAGTAGAGGTTCTCTTTGGGGGATGATTTGTAATAATACAAATGTGATACAGTCCATCTTGAAGCGTGGTTCATTGGTCTCTCTGGGAGGTAAATAAACAATCAGTTTCAGTTTGTTTTCTTGTCTTTTTTAGTTTTTCGAGACAGGGCTTCTCTGTGTAGCCCTGGCTGTCCTGGTACTCACTGTGCCAAGATTAAAGATGTGTGCAGCCACCACCTGGCCCAGTTTATGTTTTCTTGTTGAACTGGAGCTTTTTATTTTCTCCTCAAAATGACCAAAGAAGATCTATTTAAAAAAAAAAAAAAAGTACAAGCCAGGCAGTGGGAGTGCACGCCTTTAATCCCAGCACTTGGGGGCCGTGAGAACTCCAGCCTGGTCTAGAGTTCACAGACAGCCATAGTTGCCACACAGAGAAACCCTGTCTGGAAGAACCAAAAAGACCAAAAAAAAAAAAAAAAAAAAAAACCCACAAAAACCACCAAAACCAAAAAAACCCCCAAACAAACCACAACAACAAAAAACAAAGCCAACAACAAAAAAGAAAGTGCACAGCCTGACATGGTGTGCATACCTTTATCCTGGCTAGAGATGACATGTATGTACCACGAGTGCCTAGCAAGCTTAGGAGACCCAGAGTACCTTCCAGAAGGTGTTTTGTTTGAAGAGTTCCTCTGACCTCCATTCACAAGAGTATGCCTGTACACATCACCACCACACTTTCAGTGTTGAAGTTTAATTTCATTATTTTAGTATCTTTATTTCTTGATACCTGTGGTAACTATCCAAGAAGGATCCTTGTTATAATCCCTGCTTGCTCACAATACCCAGTATGCAATGGGTGCTTAATACCTTTCCTACTGTATCAGTGTAGTAAGAAAATCTTATCAGCTCAGATGTGGCAGATGTAACACTGGCATTAGGATAACACCACCTTACCCACTAAAATACCCAGGTTACTCTCCTCACCCAATTTGATACCTAGTCATATTATGGATGAATAGCTGGTTGAGGAGAAAACCAGGTTAGCAGCCCTACAAACAAGGTGTGAACTATACCCATTAAGAATAATTAGAGTGGGGCTAGAAGAGATGGTTCAGTAGTTATAATCAGCTGTTCTTGCAGAGAACTTAGGTTCAGTTCCCAGCACCCACATGATTTACAACTGAATTTAATTCCAATTCGAGAGGATCCAACAGTCTTCTTGCTCTGCACGCACCAGGCACACACATGGCACATACACATATGTGCAGGCAAAACAAGCATAAACACAAATCTTTTTTTAAAAAGCTGAGGGGTGGACCATTAGTGATTTTTTTGAGACAGGGTATTACTTATGATCTTCTTGCCTCCAACTCCCCAGTACTAAGATTACACACATACCAATATACCCAGCTGTTCTTGGTTTGTTTTTTGAAATAGTATCGCTCTGTAATCCAGGCTGATCTGGTATATACTGGCTTTGAGTTCACAGCAATCCTTCTGCCTTGGCCTATCTAGTGTTAGGACAGGACAAATGGCAAGTGCTATCATGCTCAGCTATGCTCTAATGATAAGCAGCTCTAACATTAAGTTTAAAATGCCCCAACAATGGGTGCTAAGATGATGGTTCAGTGCTGTGAAATAATCCTTTTGTACATTGTGAAGATTTATCACTGTGATTGGTTTAATAAAGAAGCTGACTGACCAATAGCTGAACAGGATAAAGACAGGCAGAAAAGCCAAACTGAGAACTTTAGGAAGGGCGGAGTCTGGAGTCACAAGCCAGATGCAGAGATGAACATGACATGCTAATAAAGGCACACCACATGGCAGAGCATAAATAAGGAATACGGGTTAACTTAAAATGTAAGAGCTAGTTAGCAATAAGCCTGAGCTTTTGGCGGAGCATTTATAATTAATATAAGCCTCAGTGTGTTTGAGCTGTTGCAGGACAGAAAAACTCTGCCTACAGTTCAGTGGCTAGAAGTACCTGCCATTAAGTCTGATGACCTGAGTTCAATCCTTGGGACCTACATGGCAGAACAAAGAACTCCCCAAACTCATCTTGATCTTCACAGGTGTATAAAATTAACAGGTAAAAAAAATAAAAAATCCTAGTGAGCTTGGTGTGGTAGCAGGTTAGGCTATAATAGGCAATATACCCTTTTAAAAGACCGAAAGAAAATAAAAAGGTTCCAGTGACCTACATGAGGCCATGGGTTTGATTGCTGCTGCCAGCAGCAGCACATAAATACTAAGCCCCGTCTGTTCAGTACATTGCAATGCTGTTGCAATGTTTTTTATAACTTCCATTCTTCAAATGCATAGGGAAAATGAAGATTTTTCTTCTTAGATAATAATTATTTGTGCATAAACTTAATGGCTTTCATAAATGGAACCTTTCATTTAACCTCACTCAAATAGACAATTGATTTTTCTACTCTAATGGCTCCAGATGTTAGTATAAGAGGGACAGAGAGATGGCTCAGTGGTTACGAGTACTTGCTCACTTGCTGATCTTGCAGAGTACCAGGATTCAGACCCAGCATCCCCATGGCAGCTAGACCCATGGGTTCCAGAGGTTCCAATGCCCTCTAATAGCCTCCAAAGGCATTGCACACATGTGGGGGGTGGACTTAGATGCAGGCAAAACACTCACACACATAACATTTCAAATAATGTTTCTCTAAGCAAAAACTAGGTAGACAAATCCATGCATAGATGGTTTCCGTTATAGAAAAGGGCATAGCAGTCATACAAAGAAGCTATCCTTGGTTGTATCTAGTACAACTTGATAACTAAGCATGAAAATGAAGGGACTGGTGAAATGGCTCGGCACTTCATCTATGTTTGAAAATCTGAGTTTGATCCTTGAAACCTGCGTAAAGGTAGGATAAAGACTTTACAAAGTTGTCCTCTGACCCCCACGTGACCTCCCCTCCCCATCTACATGGACACTTGATTCCCTGTGCACTTCTGTGCATACACCAAAATTTAAAGTAGGTGAATAAGCTGGAGGTGGTGACAAACAGTATAAACAAAGCATTTTGGGATTTAAGGCAGGATGATCAAGAGTTCCAGTCAAGCCTGGGCTACAATGAGATTCTGTCTCAAAATAAACATTAAAAAAATATATTATTAAATACCCCCATGATCACTCCAGTCAGTGCAGCCACAGGAGATAGGAAAATTCAATCCAAATGGTCATTTATTCTAAAACTGGAACTACTGTGCCTACATTTGTTGCCAGAATGATGTAATGAGAACAGGGAAGAGTTACAGATGTAAACAATGACACAGTTACATTTTTTTTAAATGGTAAAACCCTTTTTTTCTTTTTTTACTGGCCACTTCCAAGAATGCTTTACAGGTTGTGCAAAAACATTTACAGGCTCCATGTGGTGTTTGTTTTTCTCACAAGCTTTTCCATCTACAACTACAACAGAAGTCTGATAAAACACTAAACAAGTCTTCTAAGGGAAACAAAGTCAGGGTTCCCTCCTGTTACCATAATCCACCCCCCACCCACCATAACATTTCTTTTCATAATAAAAACACGAGACAGAAACAAAATGCAGACATTCACTTTGATGCAAGAGACCTCCTGGACAGACCCAACAAGGATGTGGCAGTTTTATTCTCCATTCAGTTAGAAAAACAGCTTTTTAAAAAGACTTTTCTATTATCAAATTAATAACTATACTCTCTAACCCGTTGCTCCAAACTTCAGTGTTAAGTTTATGCCCCCGTCTGTGGGTCCAACCATCCACAATCCATGTCACAGACTACTATAAAAGTGTTATTTGTTGGAGGACTGAACATCTGAAGAGTCAGCTTCTGTCTCTGGAAACTAAGTTTTCTTTTATAACATAATCTTTTCCTAAGGGGATTTCTTTGGGCTCCAGTTTTTACTTTTTTGCCCTGACATTATAAACAAAGCTTTCTCAAATTCCCTTAATGATGCCAGTGAGTTACAAAGATACATGCAGTCATTCCACCCACTGTAACACACAAATCCATTTGTGGCACCATAAGGGACAGGTGCGATAGAAAAGACACAACATGAACAAGCTATCTCCTTCCAGGCCTGCAACGACCTTTGGAAAGAGGCCCTTGAATAGAAGGTTGAGTCCTAACAGACCAGAGAGTCAGAATAAGGGTCTGAATGCCCAGAGAAGAACTGCACAGCAAGGACATCAGGATAGGGAAGATCCAAATCTCAGTACAAGTTTAAACAACAGAACTAAATGCACAGGTGAGGAAGTGGATGTGAAATATGTTCTAGTAGCACAGCCCAGAGGTTTCTCTCACCAGGAAGTACTGTAGGATGCTGTTGCTGAGTAAGCTTTAGCTAAGCAAGATGATTTAAATTGAAGCTCAATATTAAAAGAGCACTGCCATATCCTGCCCATATTCTTGAACCCAGCAACCTGTAGTTGTTCTGTCAAGAATTGGGAGGGTGTTGGTAAAGTTACAAATTTAATGATCCCAAATGAAGTCTCTCGATGAAAGGCCTCTCTGGGGCTCACAAGGAAACACCCCAGAAGGAATCCTGTTTCAGTAAGTTGGGAAAAGGTGCTCCCCTGCATGCACCCACACACACATTCACAGTCTTCCCAAGTTTCTGCAGCCCTACTGAGCTGCCCCCCACTTTCTACTCACTCTCATCTGTGTATCAAAACAAAAACAAAAACAAAAACGGCAGCAGGGCAGCATCCCCCACTGTATAAAATATTTGCTATTCTCAGCACCTGGGCCTGACAGCGCACACCACAGATTTACCTATATACATATCCTGACGCAGTGAACATCGTCTTGCTGCGTTTCTGTGAGCGGAAACCCTGAGAATCATTCCTTTCCTCACACTAAAAGAGGCAGGCAATCTTAGCAAATGATTCTGGAGATCTCTTGCCTCTATCAACTGAGAAGACAAAGAGTCTAGGGTCTGGCAAATCACCATCTTTAGACTGAGGGCTATGTTCCCACTCTCCTCCAGACTTTATGGGAATCCATTGGATAAAACATGGATGGGGAGAAACTATTCTGATCTGTAGTCCCCAACAGTCCCCATGGCTTGGGAATCCTATATAATAGAACCACCCAACTAGCAGTCTCTGTGCCTTAGGCGACAGCACAAAGGCACAACAAAGAGGACAGTGGGACATTTGGGTCTCCCAGCCTAAAAGATCAGATACCCCAAGAGGGAAAGGTTGGTAACGAAAATACAAACGGTTAACTGGTGCAAGTGTCTGATAAGAGCCAATCATTTATTTTCATTGCCCTGGTCACAGGTGCTCCCTCTGCCCCCAATCCTGCCTCTTCTGTCCCTACTCCTGCCTGCTTGCTATGCAGAGTTCCCTCATGGTGTTCCTTTCTCCCTACACCACTCTCTCTTGCTGGGCTACCATTCCAGTTGCCTTAGAGTGCTGGAGGGTGTCATTTTTAGTTCTTTTCCTATCCAGCTGCAGGGTACAGAACAGGCAGCCCTAAGTGCTGCTTTCTGTGCAAATGTTTTTTGATTACAAATAACCTAACTAGGTTTGAAATGTTTTATAGAATAAGACAATATTCTTTTCAACAAACTTTAAAAAAAAAATGTACAGTTTTGTTTTGCTTCCACTTGCCCCCCCCCCCCCCCCCCCTCTGCCACCCCCCCCCCCACCCCCCCCCCCCCGCAGCTCAGCCCCACCCCGACAGCCCCTGTTTTCCTTGGTTGTGTTTTGGGGGATGCCTGGCATCCCCAGAGCCTCAGCTTCATGGCTGACAGAAAACAGCAGGGGCTTCACCGATACCCTTGGTAACCGTAGTAGTTCCTGTAGTATCGGTCTCTGTCCTGTTGGTGGTGGTAGTAGTAATTCTGCCACTAGAAGAGAGGGAAACCCCATCACTTAGAGCCAGAGCTGGCTAAGGATGAAGAGGCATGACATTCATCCAGCTGGTCCTTTCCCCTTCAACCTCAATCTATGCCAAGATAATACTCACATCCCGGTTGTATTGTCTGTAATAGTCTCTGTATCTGTTGTACTCATAATCTTGTCTGTAGAATCGATCATAGTCACCCCTGTATCGATCATAGAAATTACGGTAGCCCTAAGGAAGGAGAAAGAAGAGTGGTGGTGATATATAGGTCTCCAGAAGCACAACCCATAGTTACCCATTATTGAACAAGACATTATTTCATCTTGATACTATAAGCAGGGTAAATTTTTTTCCCCAGGTTAAATTCTTCCAGATGAACATATTAAGTGGGCAAAACCCTAAAGACCTAAGAAAACAGCCCAAACCCCTCTGCTCCCCCAAGTCAATAGGAATGGCTTCACAGCCCAGAGGGAGGAGCAGAAGGAGAGCTGCACTCACCCCTCTGTTTCCAGACTGCCCCCAGTACTGCTGCCCGTAGGCCCGGTTGTCGTAGCCTCGGCGCTGCCCGCCCACTGGAAGAGAAATGGAGAGGGCGCTCAGACAGCTGGCATGGGGTCCTGGCTCCACATCTGAGTGGAAATCAAAAAGTTGGAGCCCAAGGCAATTCTATGGGAGGAGGAGGAGGCTTGCTCTGGCCAGGCTCACACAATGTTAAGTAAAGCACCAGCCAGGATATTTGACTAAAGAGTCTTGAGAGGGGAGGGCAGAAGAATAGACACAAGATAATAAGGCCACCCTGCTTTTGAAGCTCCCCAACCCTACAAAATATTTTAGATGACAAAAGGATACATGACAGTATTATAGGCATGAATAAAAACTAGCATTCACCAATCAGATTCTCAGCCCAAAAAGGGATCTGAGGTATCATGTAACCTATACCCTTCACTTACTGCACACAAAGAAAACAAAATCTAGCTGGGCAGTGGTGGTGCATGCCTTTAATCCCAGAGAGGCAGAGGCAGGAGGATCTCTGTGAGTTCAAGGCCAGCCTGGTCTACAAGAACTAGTTTCCAGGACAGGCTCCAAAGCCACAGAAAAACCCTGTCTCAAAAAACCTATCCCCCCCCATAAAAAACAAAAAACAAAACAAAACAAAACAACAACAAAAAAACTACACAATATTCAAGGCTAGGAACTGTTGTTATTCCTGGTGTCTGAGAAATATTTAACACTAACTACCTGTTGATTTACATACAATTGTACACTCATAACACTTTTTTTTTGCCCTTGGGTTTTTTTGTTTTGTTTTGCTTTGTTTTTCTCGAGACAGCATTTGTCTGTTGCTTTGAGGCCTACCCTAGTACTACTTCTTGTAGACTAGGCTGGCCTCGAACTCACAGAGATTCGTCTACCTCTGCCTCTGAGTGTGGGATTAAAGGCATGCACTATCACCGCCTGGCTTAAACATGCCCTGGGGATTTTGCTGGCAAACTCGACATTCAGAGGACAAATTAATTCCACTAATAACTAACTTGCTTTGTTAACACTTTAAAAGGTTGGAAATGCATTCACTTTTGTCTCTGAAACTGGGTTGATTTGATAAAACACCAAGAAATCTTAAGGGGAGAATTCACTGCACACATCCTAAGACTGCAGTGAAGTCTAGAACCCACTTGCTCACACAGAAGCTACACAGATGAAGCACAGGACTGTGTTTCAAGGAAACATTTTTTGCCCCACAGTAACTCCCTTCTGGCTGAAGGATTATGGGGAATGCATAGGAAGTAAGTACTAAAGACACAAGAAAAAATAAGCTTCTTTAGGAAAGTTGCTCATTGTGGGCTACCAAGTCTCCAGGACTCACCATAGCCTTGGCCTCTGCTTCGGTTCTGCCGGTTTCTCTTGTTGCGATTGTTCCTGCGGTTTGTCCGCTTCTCAGACGGGGGCAGCAGCTTCCTTGCTTCCTCCTTGTATTTAGTAACAATGGGTTGGGCTTCTTCTTTTTCCAGCTCCCCATATGTCACCTCATCCATATAATCGCATTTCTCAGGCAGAGAGAAGTTGGCTATAAGAATAAGAGAGAAGCTTGTGGGCCTAGAAAGTATAGACAAGGTTAAGAATGCATGAAAATCTACTACAGGAAGTATACTTTAGTTTTTGGTGGCTTTGGGGATCAAATCCAGGGCTTTGTAAATGTTAATCAAGTGTTCTCTCACTGAGCTATATCCAAGAGATTTTATTTTGATTGCTTTTTTTCCCCCATTTTGAGACTTTCTCTGTCCCACCAGCCAGCCCCCAAATCACAATACAGAGACTTAGTACTAATCACGAAATTTTGGCTGATAGCTTAGGCTTGTTTTTTAGCTAGCACTTTTAACTTAAACTACTTCATTTCTATCAGTGATCTATGTGCTGCCCCATGCTTGTTTATTTTACCTCATCTACATACCGTCTACACTGCTTTCCTCCTTCTGTGTCTCTTCAGACCTCACATTTCCATAGGATCCAAATTAACTTCTGCATAGCCTCGGGGTATCTATCAGATGTCTGGTGGTCGTCCTTATATGATAACTGGATAAATTAAGGTTTTTTTTTTTTTTTTTTTTTTAAAATACCCTTAGGCCGCTCCTCTTCAATTTCATAATGCAATGGTATGGTAGGTTCTGCTTTAGTTCTATAGCTCAGGCTAACCTCAACTATCTTAGCCAATGGTATGGTATGTTCTGCTTTAGTTCTATAGCCCAGGCTAACCTCAAGTACCTTAGCCTCTTGAGTGCTGGAATTACAGTTGAGTCAACACTCAGTTTGTTATTTATTGAGGCAGGAACTCTCTACATAGCCCTGGTTGTCCTGGGACTCACTATGTAGGCCAGACTGGCTTTGAATGTGGAGATCCACCTGTCTCTGATGGGACCATGCCCAGGTTTGTTGTTAATAATATATGTCTAAGTGAGTATGTGTTAGTGTAAGAAGGCGAGTGTAGGATGTCAGGTATTCTCTACCACACTTTACTCCTTTGCAGACATGGTCCCTCTCAAAATCTAGAGACTCACCATTCTGTTGCCACCCTGCTCAGTGGTGAGATTTGGAAGTATATATGGTACCTGACTTGTTATGTGGGTGCTGGGATCAAAACTTCAGGCTTCATGCTATGCAGCTAAGTCTTTAAGGGCTGAGCCATCTAGCTCTTGTTGGATTTCTTACACATAGGGTTTCATGTATCCCAGGCTGGGTCTGAACCTTCCTGCCTCTTGCTTCTGAAAACTGGGATTACAATTATAGTTCTTCCTATTGCACTTAGCTTCTCTTTTTATTTTACTTTTTTCTCCTTTGAGATTGTTTTGTTATAAAGCTCAGACTGGACTTCAGCTTGCTATACAGTCTGTGCCAGCTTCAAACTGAAGATCTTGCCTTACTGTCCCAAGTGGTACAGTATAGGTCTGAACATGACAGCAAGCCAAGCCTAATACTTTCAAAGTTTAACTTAGTAACGCACTAAAATGTACTAGGCTTATACCAACTCATCCTTAGATAACCAAACTAACTTCTTTTTTGAGACATGGTCTCATGTAGCACAGGCAGATGTAAAACTCCCTTATATAGTTGAGGATGACCTTGATTTTCTTGCTTCCAATCTTTTTTTTTTTTTGAGGGAGGGTCCTCAAGATAGGTTTCTCTGTGTTAACAGCCCTAGTTGTCCTGGAACAAGCTCTGTAGACCAGGCTGGCCTTGAACTCACAAAGATCTACCTGTCTCTGCCTCTGGAGTGCTGGAATTTAAAGATGTGTACCACCACCACCTGGCTGCTTCCAATCTCTTAAAATCTGAGATTAGAGTCAAGCGCCACCATGGCTTTCTTCTTTTTAAAGATGGTGTCTGTCTATATATTTCAGAATGACCTAGAACTCAAAGCAATCTTCTTGCCTTAGTCTTCTGAATGCAAGACTTGTGGTACCATGACTAAGGCAAACCTTTTTATACTATAAATGGTATACTATATGAAGACAAAGGGTTTATGCCAGATAGGTTTACAATTTTTTTAAATATTTATTTATTTTCCTATTATGTATACAATATTCTGTCTGCAGACCAGAAAAGGGCACCAGACCTCATTACAGATGGTTGTGAGCCACCATGTGGTTGCCAGGAATTGAACTCAGGACCTTTGGAAGAGCAGGCAATGCTCTTAACCGCTGAGCCATCTCTCCAGCCCCAGGTTTACAAATTCTTAAATGATCCAAAATAAATCAGTGAGATATCAAGACAGAAGAAACACAGGCTAACACCATAACTGAACACGTTTCGGTGTTGCTTAAAAACTTGGTCTCAGAAACTGGAAAGCTAACCCAGTAGTTAAAAGTATCTCACTGCCCTTTGCAGAGGTTCTGGATTCAGTTCCCAGCACCCACATAAGTGCTCACAACTGTCTGGTCTCTAACTGTAGTTCAGTTTTGACCTCCAAGGGCACCATTCATCTGTAGGCAAAACATTCGCAGAAATAAAACAAATAAACCTTAAAACAAACAAACAAACAAACAAAAAACCAAAAACTTGGTCTTATTATGTAACCTGCCTAGTCTGTTTAGACCAGTCTGGTCACAAATTCAGAGACCCATCTGTCTCTGATCTGCTGGGATTAAAGGCATGTACCACCATGCCTGGTCAAGAAGTAACATTTTCAGAACTTCAAAATGGAACTGAGGGTATAGGTGAGGGGCACTGCACTTGCCTAACATGTACAAAGGTCCTGGGTTTCAATTCCCAGTAGCCCCTAACACACACACACACACATGTACACTCACGTGCGCACGTTAAAAGCATCATCTCTAACAACATACACGCACTGACAGCAAGGCCTGTCACTGAACAGTTAGTTATACATGATAGCCAGACACATCTATCATTCTATGGACATCAAGTTCATAGACTGTGTTCCATTGAGTTGTATTTCAATTATGATTCTCAGATAATCCAGTTATCCCTATTTTATGAAACAGCATCAAATTCCTCCAAGTGCCTGAGCATTTGCTATGAGCTCGCATAATTCATTCTGTATAAATTCACACACTTTAGCTCATAGATGTTGTGAGAAGTGACTCCCACAGCCAGGGGGTTATGAAAGTTTCCAGAGCCAGCAGCTGAGAGGGTGAGAGGGACGCCATGAATGAAAGGAAACATGAAGAATATGATCTGAGGGAACACCATGAAGCAAGACCAATCAACATAGCTAACACTGCCTTGACAGGACCGAATACTTAGGCAAAAACAAATCAAAAAAATAAGCAAAAAGGAAAACAAAACATAAAACTATTATTGTAACAGAAATCAACATATCGTAAAGAGACAATCTTCTACAATTACTGTATTTTTATTTGAACGTTAACAATCATTCTTGCCATTTTTATGGAATATAAATATTAATTTAAAATTGTATTTATTACTGTGAAGTTTCATTTCATATGCTGATATTTTCCTATGACTAGGGAAATGATGGACAAACAGTATACACTATAAATACTTAATAGGTAATTGACTCAATCCCCTTCCTTCACATTTAAGTATCTTGTTTGGATTTAAAAATCTTATTTCTCGTACTTCTTTTTATTTTATTTGGTATTTTTCAAGACAGGGTTTCTCTGTGTAACAGCCCTAGCTATCCTGGAGCTAGTTCTTGTTGACCAGGCTGGCCTCAAACTCAGAGATCCGTCTGCCTCCGCCTCTGGAGTGCTGGGGTCTAAGGCATGCACCACCACTGCCCAGCTCGTTCTTTCATTTGAGACAGCATCATTAGCTCAGACTAGCCTCTAACTTCTTATCCTCCCTGCTTTCAATTTCTATATACTGAGATTATAGGCAAGCACCACCCTGTTTTTTTCCTCCCAACCAAGACAAGGTCCTGTTATGTAATCCAGGCTAGTCTAATTCATGATCTTCCTTTCTGACCATCTCAAGTGCTAGGATTACAAACACGTGCTACCTACTACACCCAGACATTACCCTTTTGTATTTTAGCCACGAGTCAAGGGATCTACTGTTTCTCCACCTACTCTACCAATTAGTTTATACCTACAAGTGCTTGCCTCCATTAAATCGTTCTTAATTTTTTAAATATTTGTTTGTTTGTTTATTTTGTATGTATGCAGTGCAGGCCAGAAGAGGGTACCAAGTCTCATTACAGATGGCTGTGAGCCACCATATGGTTGCTGGGAATTGAACTCAGGACCTTTGGAAGAGCAGGCAAAGCTCTTAACCACTGAGCCATCTCTCCAGCCCCCAATTGTTCTTAAATTTATACTTTAGATGTAGAGTGTCACTCTTGGTACTACAAGGTTCCAGTGCAGTTGTACTAACCAGGTACAAGATTCTCTAATCTATGCAATTTTAGCCCACCTTTCATCTCCAGCATTATAGACTCAGGTACATCATCTCCCTCTACTTCTTTTCTCAACTCCAGCCTCTTCTTCCAATCTTCCTCATTAGGGACAACCACCACCACTTTCCTGGAGAAGGTCTTGAACAGCAATAACTTCCTTCGTTGGCCAGAGTTGTACACATTACACTAGCAATGGGAGTAATAACATGTTTTAAGAACAAAAGTCACCACTCAACTTACAAAAGAAAACGATCTTCTACATCTGAAGCATCAGATTAGAAGTCAGTACACAATTTTCTTTAATAATCACTATTATTACTATTGTTTGTAGTAATCTGGATCAAACTTAGGGCTTTGTACATGCTAGAAAACTGCTCTATCACTGTGCTATAACCCCAGTCTCCTTTGACTTTTCTTTTCTTAGGCAGGGTTTCTTTGTGTTGTCCTAGCTGTCCTGGAACTAGCTCTATAGATCAGGATGGTCTTGAACCATAGAGATCTGCCTGACTGTGCCTCCTGAGTACTGGGATTAAATGCATGTACCATCACTGCCTGGCTTCTCCTTTGATTTTTATTTGAGACTCTACTTAATAAATTATTTCACACATCAGGAAAACTGAAGTTAGAGAGGTAAAAGACTTGTTCAAGATCACAAATTTAAGTAGGTCATGATATTGACTAAATAAAAGAAATAAATAAATGAGCCCAAATCTTCTATTCCTCTATCATCTAGTTCATACTCTCAGGATAACAGTATGATGAGTTCAAGTACATTATGTAACTCAGAGCAGTCATTAGGTGAACTGAGTCTATTTCTTAATTCTTAATTCAGTCCTACGTGTGTATCCCAGTTTCACTCTTTTAAAAAGATGCAAAAACAGGTTCTTCTTGAATGTTTGAATACCTGATCAAGAATGAAGTTCCTCTTTGATCGGGAAGCAATCTGGACTAGCTTACTAAGGCACTGGGAAGCTTGCTGAACTAAGAGGTCTCGGCTCTTGGGGTCCATCTCTGGCTCCTCCAGCCCCTTCATCTGATGAGTGCAAGAAGACAGAAGGAAGACAAGGGGTTACACAGCAAGTTCAAGATCCCCAAAGTCACCTGCTTTAAATGCTACATGGAGAAGACCAACTCATCACACTGCTAATTTCCTATAGTAATTACTTCCATTCTTAACCTGTATATACTCCAGATTGCACATTTTCAGAGACTTGACAATCCAGCACGTATGGAGCATATTTTAACACATGACAGAAAGTTACATTTTTACATGCGTAGCCCTTGTTCTCACACACTTCAAAGACACCCTACATTCCTGACTGAGGACAGGTTATCAAAGATTCCCAGAGTCTCCAGAGCAAACATCACTGCTGATTAACCATGCCTCCCCCAGCTTTCAGCAACTGACCCTCATTTGACTGAGCACAGTCTCAGCTCCCAGGACATTGTATCTTTTCTCTGGGTTTTCTTTTGCATACTTTAGTGCCCACTTGGTCTTCCCAGATCCAGGGAGTCCTACCATCAGAATCACCTACAAATAAAAGGAAAATAAGAATATAATAAAAATGAGTCATTTTTTAAAATCCAACTTTCTTTAAAAAATATTCTTATATTTTCCCTATCCAAGTTAGACAGTAATTTCAGAATACACCTGAAAGGACACAGCCTTCACTATTCTAAAACATGAGGCCCATACTTCTGCAATTTGGCATACCTCACACTCCTCTATGGTCTTAGGAGGAACTGTAATCCGCACACGCTCTTCAACAGGCACAGCATGGATGAACACAAACTCTTCTGGTGGTGGGAAAAAGGGTTCTTCCTTCTGACCGAAGTTTAATTCTATGACACAATTTTTGCAAAGGACATGGGGTAGAAGGGCTCGATCTGCTAGAGATTCCTTGCTGATTCGGAATGCCACACCCAGGTCTTCTCCATTCTTGGAGAAGGAAAGCTCTACTTCTTCAGTCTCAAAATTCTATAGGGACAAAAGCACAAGAGCACTTACAGGTTGACAGGTTTTAAGGACAATGAAGTCTTACAGCTTACTTTTTTTTTAGTTGGGAGGATGGAGAGATGGGGTCAGTGGGTAAAGGCACAAGTCACCATGTAAGATGACATGACTTTGGTCCTTAGAACCCACATGGTAGGAGAAAACTGTCCTCTGACTTTCACATATACACTCTGATATGCCCCCCCAATACATGTAGAAATAAATAAGCAAATAAATAAATATTGGGGTTACTGGACAGCTCAAATAAGCAAGCAATGCATAGAATATATAAAAGCCAGTAGTTGGTAGGAAGCACAGCTGAATCCTCTCAGCCTTTTATCTGCTCTTTGCTATAAATCCACAATTTACAGGAACACTTACAGCAAAACAGCCAATGACATCACTCTCCCCAAAAGTCTGGCCAAATTCCTCAAACTGCCCATTCTCTGCCTTGAGTCCTCTTCCATCAAAACCATAAGAGAATTCATCTTCACCTAGGGTAGTCAACAATCAATTATCTATCTGTAAAGTTCCCACAGAGTGAGCAATATGGTAGCAAACACAGCAAGAAGTTAAAAAATAACATTACCAAGCTGTGGACAGGAAAAATCAACAGACCACCCAACTCTGAGTAGAGAAACTTCTGTGTAGCCTTCTTTCATTGGGAGATTCTGTGTTACCTGGTCAAGTCAGAAAAGGAATTCTTAGGTACTTTGACCAATGCAGGTACAAAGTCTGAGTTACAAAGATAAGATTTGTATACAAACTGAAAAGAAAAAAAAAAAAAAAGATCACAGCTCAGTATCAGAAAAACAACTTTCACTAAACCTAAACTAAAGACCAAATTTGTAGGTCTGTGTATATAGCTCAGAAATAAAGCATCTGATATGTACATGGCCCTGAATTCAATCCCCAACACATAAAACAAACAAGAAAACAAAACAAAAAAGTCATAAGGGTCAATTTTGTTGCTCAGAGTTAAGGTATGTTAAGTCAGGTGCCTTCTCTGCACTAATAAAGTACTGGCTAGGCGTCCAACACACAGCTGAAATTAATAACTGACTTGAAAGAGCCCTTACCTTGGCCTCGAAGCATACTCTTCCCTTTGTTACTCCATAAGTACTCCTTGCCCCAGACCAAAGGGTAGGAAATTTTTCTGAAAAAAGTGGCTGCCCTCCATATCGGTCTTTGCTTATTTGAAAGTGGAGATCCGAGGTATCTGTTAAGAAAGAAAGATACAGGGCTGGAGAGATGGCTCAGAGGTTGAGTGCACTGGCTGTTTTTCCAGAGGTCCTGAGTTCAATTCCCAGCAACCACAGGGGTGGCTCATGGCCATCTATAATGAGATCTGGAGCCCTCTCCTGGTGTGCATGCAGAACACTGCACACATAGTATATAAATCTAAATAAAAGAAACATAACACGAAAGATAGGCCCTGTTTACTACAACACTCAACACTTGACAAGTGTTGAGAGCACCATTATGCCCAATTATCATGAATGGATACAAAAACTGTCCAAATACTCAAGTCATCAAGTTTTACTCGCAAAAGTCAGTTCTAGATCATGCGAGACTAAGGCAGGAGGATCACAAGTTGAAAAATAACCTGGGATAAATAGCAAGGCCCTATTCTCAAAAAACCAAAGCAATTCGCTTTCTACATACATGTGTCCAGGTTCACAAGAGTCTGATCCTCCTCTTCATCTTTTGCCTCTTCTTCTGGAGGTGGTGGAGACTTCGAGCTACAGGTAGGAGAGGAGAGCAAATGCAATATAACCAAAGCTACTTTCTTTGAGGATTTGTGCGGCATTGCCCATTTAAAGTATCAGTGAATTATCAAATTCCAGCAGACAGCTTCTTTTAGTCAATGAGAATAGGAAATAGCTTTCATCAGAGAGTTATTTACTCTAAAACTTATGCCTATAAAGATCTATTCCATTTTTCAATCCACCCCTCCTTCCAGACTGTCCAATCAATGCCAGGAATACCAAAAGCAGAGCAGACATTCCCATCAAGGGAGTGTTTCCCTCACCGGCTGTGGTAAGCCTCCTCTCGGAATTCATAGTAAGCTCGGCCATGTTCATCCTTCTCATCCCGCTGTCTCTTTACCCCCCGCCGCTCACCATCTGAGCCTGCTGGTTTTGACTTTTCACTATCCTGGTCATCTCCTACAAAAGGGAGGGAAAGAAAATCAGCAGTTTTTATACTGGAGCATAGAATAAGCTCAGAACTAAGAGAATCTGAGTTAACCAATATGTGCAACTGGGGGTATCTAAGTGAAAGTGTTCCTATTATATCCATATGTTTTATTTCCAGCATATTTTATTGGTTAAGATGGGGGGGTGCTGTGAGCTAAATACAGTCAAGAAATAGAAAAAGTTGGGCAAATTTTCCATTCTAAATGTATCTACTTCATTTAAGCCAACCTGACAGATCTCCCCACTAACATCCTAACTAACATATAACAGAAAAATATCCCTGAAGTCGTTTAAAAACCTTCACAGGTGAATTTCTTTCAGTTCTCATCAGATTTGAATTACAGCAAGTACTTAATGACTATTTTCTAACATTTTTCAGCAGGTACATGGCACAGAAGCCTTACAATTTCTTTAAGAGACTGCCTTTTTTGCCTTAAAATGCAGCCACACTATGGCAGCTTTATTTTTTAACAGGAATTTGAACTGAAAGTTACCAGAGCAAATCATTAAGTCACACGTGAACCATAAATAACACATCTTTACTTCATGGAATTTGGGGCAGGAAGCTGGTGGTGTACATTTAGCGACACTCTTTTTGCTGTTGTTTTCTAGACAGGGTCTCACTATGTAGCTCTGGCTGTCTTAGAACTCACAATGTAGCCGGGAGGTGGTGACATATGCCTTTAATTCCAGCACTCGGGAAGCAGAGGTAGGCGGATCTCTATGTAAACCTGGCCAGCCTGGTCTACAACAGGTAGTTCCAGGATAGGTCCAAAAAAATAAAAAAGTAATAAAAATAAAAAAAAATAAAGAATGAATGGATGAATGAAAGAAAACACTACAAAGAAACCCTGTCTCGAAAAACCAAAACAAAAAAACCACCTCACAGAGATCTGCCTACCAACGCCTCCAGTCCGCAGTGCTGGGACTGAAGGCGGGACACTAAGCCTACAGTACCACTCTCTTTACAAGGAGTACACATTGAGTTTTTCCCCATAGGCTTTCATGTTTTGAAGGCTTAATAGTCTTTGACAATTCCTCTAAAGTACTCTCTTACCCGTCAATATCTTTTTATCTGCTATTTGGAATACAAACAAGTCAAGGGTTATTATATAATAGAAATTTTGTTCCAGAACATTAGACACAACAACCCCCCCCCAAAAAAACTATACTTTGCATACAGTCATTGAAAAATAGACTCCAAATACAGGACAATAACAGTCTTAAACAAATGCAAAAAACAAAAAACCTCAGGCAATCCAACTGAAAGTAAGACTGGGAAGCAGCTCTCCCTCCTGACAGACACTATGGATTAGCTCTAACCATGCCAGCATTTCAAAAGAAAGGAGAAAGGTCATTAACTCCTGAGGAAAAGTCGCTACACATATTCTACCACAAGGTTACTCAACTTACTCACTAGAACCCCTCAATCATTCCACCTCAGGAAGTTGGGGCCTTCAAGTCCCCAGTGTGGAATGAGCCCGTAAATATGCTCATTTACCGACTCGGAAGGAGAATTAAAATATAACGACAAGAGGGACAAGGGAAAAAGCTCCATTCAAGCAACTAACACGCTACTAAAAGTTAACAGCCTAAGGCTTTCTCTTTGCTAGTTAATGATTAAACCCAACCGCTCACACGAGACACTGTCTCCCACCGCTAAAGCAGGAAGGAGCAAGGTTAGCTATCCAGAGGCTCTGTGAGGCGTGTGCTCTAACATGGGTCTGACAGAGCAACATTTCACAGACTGCTCACTGGGTAACGATTTTACGGTAAGAAATTGACTGTCAGCTAGACCGAAGGTCTAAGCTTCTAACGGGTACCTGTAGTCCGCCAATTTCCCAGCATATTTTCCGCTAAAGACTGATCCACAGGTAGCTCGAAAGCAGTACACGCACACGCATGCACACCATACCACACACTTCCATCCACTAACACTGAGGAATCACGTTAGACAGGAACCTCCCTCCGGCAAACCGTGGAGCCACAACGCACCCAAACCCCCCAGAAAATGGGCAAGAGATGAAAACCCCGCTCCCTGGGGAATCCCATCACACAGCCACGGGAATCGTTCGGGCAAGTGGAAACAAGGAATCAGATCGCGTGCAGCGGGGTGGGGTGCTGGATCGGGGACGCACCCGGTAGGTTGGAGCCTTGCTCTGCTGCAAGTTCCTCACCTTGTTCCTCTGTGGCCTTGTCACCCGGTGCCTCGGATCCCGGCGTCTCATCCCCGCTCCGTTCCTCCGGCCCGTCTTCCTCCCCCTTGCCGGTCTCATGCTCTTCACCACCGTTTACCCCACCTGACCCGGCCGTGGCCTCCACCGGCGTGTCGGAGGATTCGGGTTCGGCCTCCATGGCTGACGCCTCCGGGGGCTGCGGAGGAGGCTGCGCGGCCTGGCCCAAAGCTTGAGCAGGAGGTGGCTCCTCGTCTTCGTCCTCAAGCAGCGCCTCCTCGTCCTCCTCCTCGTCGTCCTCCTCCTCCTCGTCCTCCTCGTCCCCGCCCGGGCCTCCGCCCGACGCGGCCACAGGCCGAGGCTCCGCCTTGCAGGCCCCGCCGGGCCCGGCGCCGCCAACGCCGGCCTCGTCCTCCAGCATCTCAGCATCCAGCGCCTCCTGGAGTGGTCCGTATCGTGAACGCAGAAGATCGGAAGAGC